TTATAAATACTTATTGTGTGATAATAAAAATTATATCCTTGGGTAAGGATTGACGAATCAAATCCAACAACACGAATGAATCTCAATTCGGAGCAAGCTCGAAAAGTGTGTTCTTCAGACACGTTATTTTAAATTACGGGGCACAAAACCCTAGGTATATAAATAGATTTATTTGTCCCTAATCCATGACACTATTTTTCTTCTTCTTCGATTCTCCGACAGTAGCTACTCTGGTTTCCTCTTCGATCAGTGACTACGGTCAGGTCAAAACCCGCCGAGAATCTTCCCTCTCCCTCCATGCTTTGCATCTCCAGCCCTGCCCAGCGAATCCGGCGACCCCTATTTCGGCGACCTTCTTTCTCCGACGTACTCCGAGAAGCAATGACCCCAATTAGAAACGAGGAAGACATGGCTCGCTCTCTTTCGTCCTCCTGACCTCTAGCAACCTCTGACGCCGGCGATCTCAATCGTTGTTCTCCCTCTATAACACCCTAATCCGTCCAGGTCTGCAGCCTCTTTCGGACTAAAGTATAAATTTTGTATTTGTAAACATTCAAAATATTTTAAACATTTTAAAACTTTATTTCATAATAAATCATTCAGGATAATAACGGGGTAATTTAATGTTACGGAAGCGTAATAATTCACAAGTACAAAACATAATAATTTTGTCTCTTTTAAATAGTAATTCATTTCCCAATTATTTATGAAGAACGGTCAAACCAGGCCTGTTTAATAAAATGGAGGAATAAGAGAATATTCCTCCGTAGATGCTCCAGCTACTCCTATAAAAGGAGGGCACCCCCTCAATGTTAAGGGAGGTCATTCTTACATTCTTCTCCCTGCCCATTACATTTTCTCTCTAGAATTCTTGTATTTTCATTCTTCAAGAAGCTTTGAAGCTTCCATTAATGGCTTCTATGCCTAAATTATGTACCGTGTATACACCCCCGATATTAATAAAAATCCCCCGTTGGCAAGGTACCGCCAAAAAAGGCCCGTGGTTTTCTCCCGATTTAGGTTTCCACGTCAAAATCCCCGTGTTTATATTTTGGTGTATTTTTAGACTAGTTTATCGTTTTAGCCAGGCTAAAAACGGTATACCGGTCGATAAATTACACCATCATTTTGGCGCCGACCGTGGGACCCGATGGAAAGGCTATGTTATGCTCTTCCTATTCTTGCTACCTTTGAAAAATGGTGATGATGTACTCTATTCCCCCCACGGCAGCAAAAAAAATGAGAAAAAACCAATTATGATTCCAAACATGAGTCAGTGGCTTGATTTCTTATCGCCATTTTGCCAAATCAACAACCACCTTGCTGCAAATCCACCATCACCACCGCAGACTAGCTTTAGTTGTCACCGCCGTCACCGTCGATTGCTGCCTTCATCGTCAGTCGTCACCGTGGCTCAGGTCTTATCGGGGACTGGCCCGTTGAGGAGCCGGCGGTAGCCCCTACAAAATCCATGGAAACCGCCGCCAGAGTCTACTCTCACCGCCGCGGGTCACCTACTGCAGTGGCGGCCCCTAGAGTCTATTGCTACCAGTCGAAAATGGGAGAAAAGACTGCAACGTCGCTACCGCTGAAGCAGATCACCGTCGAAGCCATTGCTCTTTGTCACACCGCCGAGGTAAATTAAATGACAAAGGCCGATTCGGATGACAAACATCGGCTAAAACCGGAGAGCCTATCTCTTGGGCGAAGAACAAGTCAGAGCCGGAGAAATGCAGTTTTGGGACAAAAGCAAAACGAAGGAAAAACGCCGGAACAAAGTAGACCAACCATCAGACCACGCCGACGGAACAGAGACACCGAAATCAGTTCTCGGAAAAAAAAAAAAAATTCACCGCCGAGCAGACAAAAAATCAGCGGACAAAGAAATCCAGATCAGCAGAGCCGCACGGACGAACCTTCCTCATGGAAAATAAGGCACGCAGATCGCCACTCATTACTACCATCGATCTGCGGCAGTTAAGTCGTGGCGCACCCGCTGGAGACTAAAAGTTTGTGGTTTCCATGTTCCAGCTATATCTGTAGCACTGAAGGCCTCGCCTACGGAGTTGTACACCATGCAAGTCCACCGCCCATTGAACGTCGTTGGAGAAACAGGTCACTAGAGTTTCCATGTGGCATGTTCTTTCCAATAGTGAGATCCAGAAAATAAGTTTGAGATGGAGAGAGGAATCCAATGTTTGAGATGGATGAAGATGAGTTGATTTGTCATGACAACAGGAAATGGATATGTGAGGTGACCTCCACTTCGGTCCATTATTTTGTGACTTTTGGGCCCACCACTAAGAAAGGGCATGGGAAAGCACAAAAAAAGTGAGGCTCACGAGTCATGGGAAGCAAGAATAGGAAGCCACATGGTGGGACCATTTATGATTCCTCCAAGCATTATATATCTCTACAATATACAAAAACAAGTCACTCCATTGCGAAAGGAAGAATCCAAGAAGGCTCACTTATTCTCACTTATTCTCACGGCACATCAATTAATCATTTTGGTAAGAGAGGTGCATTGAATATTGCGGAGGAGGAAATAAGTTCCCCACTTATTCCTCATTCGGGCCCACCACTAACATTTGGTGGAATGGGTTAGCATTATGGAGTAATAATTTGGGCATTTACACATGCCCTATGGACGAATTCGGAGGGAAGACTGAGACACAAGCCGAGCTTGGTACGCTGGTTACAACACCGGTCTTGCTCAGTATTTAAAAAAAAAGAGGAAGACTGAGACACAGGCCCGGCCTGGCAAGCTGGTTACTACACCGGTCTTGCTCAGTATAATAAAAAATATTAAAATATGTGACACAGGCCCGGCCTGGCACGCTTGTAAATATCATTCTTGTGCGCGAGACAGGCCAAGAATGATATACACACCGGTCTTGCACATATTTTCTCGTAAGTCTGACCCCAATCGAATTGGGTACACCGGTGGCTCAGCTGAGCCCTTATCGGGGACGCCCTATTCTTCAGGCCCTTTGAACAAGGCACTCCGGAAGTGGTCTCTACATGACATGAAGATATTTGCATCAGTTAGCCGGGCTAACATCGATCTTCGACAAAGTTGCTGCAACATACTTAATTCGTATTAAGTAACATCGATTACTTCGATATACTAATTTCGCTATGTATCGTTTACTTAATCCGTACTAACACCGGTCTCGACGAAATAACTGCTTGAAGCACTGCCGCTTCATCGTACTAACTCCGGTGTCGTATAACTACTCGAAGCATCGTTGCTTTATCGAACTGACATCACTCTTGTTACGATAATTATTCACGCGAATTTTAACCACCCTAACACCGAGCTCCTCGGTAAAGATAATAATTTTTTGAGCACGGTATAGGCCGGTCAAAAAAAAATGTTGTACATATTATTTTTGCAGGAAAAACTTCTGATTCAAGAAATTAGAGAAAAAATGAAGACTCGGAGGACTAGCAATAATATCAACCGATCAAGAATCCAAAGTACGAAGACTGAAGATAGCACTCGGAGGACTTATTTACTTTTTTAAGTTGATGATTCTCACAACTTAAAAAAGTGGAGGACTTCTTGATGGGAAATAATACGTGGCTTGGCCCACATTTCCCAATTATTTATGAAGAACGGTCAAACCAGGCCTGTTTAATAAAATGGAGGAATAAGAGAATATTCCTCCGTAGATGCTCCAGCTACTCCTATAAAAGGAGGGCACCCCCTCAATGTTAAGGGAGGTCATTCTTACATTCTTCTCCCTGCCCATTACATTTTCTCTCTAGAATTCTTGTATTTTCATTCTTCAAGAAGCTTTGAAGCTTCCATTAATGGCTTCTATGCCTAAATTATGTACCGTGTATACACCCCCGATATTAATAAAAATCCCCCGTTGGCAAGGTACCGCCAAAAAAGGCCCGTGGTTTTCTCCCGATTTGGGTTTCCACGTCAAAATCCCCGTGTTTATATTTTGGTGTATTTTTAGACTAGTTTATCGTTTTAGCCAGGCTAAAAACGGTATACCGGTCGATAAATTACACCATCAATAGATATTCTCAAATTGAATTTTTATAGATTTGAAGGAGAGTTAAGAAAATATAAAAACATACTAAAATATCCTTAACGAAAGTAGGTAGATGTATATTAAATGAGATGAATAAAAAAGTGAGAATAGTTGTAATATTTTATATGTTAAAAAAGGCAATGGAAAGATCTTTTCTGGAAAAACAAAAAAGGCATGTGAGAAGATCTATAACGGTCGGAGTGAGTAGCTAAACGTTGTCGATAGATAGCATCTTCAAAATGCTAACTATAAACTCTAACGATGTGATGGAAAGAACTCCATGCCACCAGATGATCTGATACATGACGGCGGATCAGATTATCGAATGAGAAGAGTAGTGAAAAAAGCATAAAGCTTGAGAACATGAAGAACGATGCAAGTATTAATTAGTTGTCTTGAGCTTGAGGACTACAACGGCATCTCGCCTATATTTATAGGTATACTATTTGAATCATGCATGGGAAGTGCTAAATATGGTAGTCAATCATAGTCTGGTATGGTGTTCCTCCGGCGTCAATGCTAAGCAAAGCAATCTCAATTTGTCTGCGATCGGAGCGGTCAATCACGAGAAGGACATGACTTCTCTTCCCAATCACGCGACTGGGCCAGGCCCAAGCCCTTAGATCAATCCCGGCGTATTTGGTCCCGAAGGGTTGACGAATCGTATGGATGGTTGGTTTTGCACCTTCTTTAAGATATACAGGTGTTGGCCGGGCTGGGCCTAAGCCAATTGGCCTATTAGGCTATCATAAGCCCCCCACTCCTTAAGCTTAAAACAGGCCATTTCAGGGGTGAGGAGTATGTGAACGTTGCCCAACCACTCTCACTTAGGTCGCATGTGTGTTTTAAATCGTGGTGAATGCCATGGATATGGTGGGGCCTAAAATCGTGGTGGCTCAATTGGGTCCAACAGACACCACCCTTGACGCCCCCGAGGGTTATTTTACTATCCATATCTGGTCATTGAGGCGTGGTCTCCATTTCCCGCTTCATAACTTAATTGTAGAATACTTAAACCACCTTAACCTCCTTCCGAGTCAGTTAGTCCCCAACTCCAATAGGTATCTTGCGGTTACCTCATCAGGTGACGGGAAACTAGGGTGGAGCCTTCCCTTGAACCTTACATGTTCATGTTCAAGTTGACGAAAGGAGCTGGGAAATGGGCTTCCTATGCTTCCTTATCACAAAGGTCTAGCAAGCTTTTCCACATGAGGAAGAAAGGGTCAAGCCACAAACGGAATCCTTCCTTTGTGTTCGTCTTGACTGGTCTCGGATCTCCCTTTACGGCATCTGGTCATACGCTCTTCTGCCATGTGCAGCTGCATGTCTACACCGTCGGCCAGGTTGATGAGGCCCACCCAGAGGCTTTGCCGGGGGGGTTATATATATGAGATGGAAAAGTTGGTCCGGGATGAGCACCAACACCATTCGAGGCTGTAACGCCCTAGATACCGGTATAGAAGCTAATCAATAATTAAATAAATAAGAATTATTTATTTATGAAAATTTATTTAAAAATACTTTGGAGATTCTAATCGTCCCAATATATCGTGACTGATCTAATTTAAATGTTAAGATTTAAATTAAAAGACTAATCGGTATTAATTAATCGAAAGAATTAAGACAGACCATATGGAACTTATAAATACTTATTGTGTGATAATAAAAATTATATCCTTGGGTAAGGATTGACGAATCAAATCCAACAACACGAATGAATCTCAATTCGGAGCAAGCTCGAAAAGTGTGTTCTTCAGACACGTTATTTTAAATTACGGGGCACAAAACCCTAGGTATATAAATAGATTTATTTGTCCCTAATCCATGACACTATTTTTCTTCTTCTTCGATTCTCCGACAGTAGCTACTCTGGTTTCCTCTTCGATCAGTGACTACGGTCAGGTCAAAACCCGCCGAGAATCTTCCCTCTCCCTCCATGCTTTGCATCTCCAGCCCTGCCCAGCGAATCCGGCGACCCCTATTTCGGCGACCTTCTTTCTCCGACGTACTCCGAGAAGCAATGACCCCAATTAGAAACGAGGAAGACATGGCTCGCTCTCTTTCGTCCTCCTGACCTCTAGCAACCTCTGACGCCGGCGATCTCAATCGTTGTTCTCCCTCTATAACACCCTAATCCGTCCAGGTCTGCAGCCTCTTTCGGACTAAAGTATAAATTTTGTATTTGTAAACATTCAAAATATTTTAAACATTTTAAAACTTTATTTCATAATAAATCATTCAGGATAATAACGGGGTAATTTAATGTTACGGAAGCGTAATAATTCACAAGTACAAAACATAATAATTTTGTCTCTTTTAAATAGTAATTCATTTCNATGGCTCGCTCTCTTTCGTCCTCCTGACCTCTAGCAACCTCTGACGCCGGCGATCTCAATCGTTGTTCTCCCTCTATAACACCCTAATCCGTCCAGGTCTGCAGCCTCTTTCGGACTAAAGTATAAATTTTGTATTTGTAAACATTCAAAATATTTTAAACATTTTAAAACTTTATTTCATAATAAATCATTCAGGATAATAACGGGGTAATTTAATGTTACGGAAGCGTAATAATTCACAAGTACAAAACATAATAATTTTGTCTCTTTTAAATAGTAATTCATTTCACACATTCACCTCGACCATCTCGCTCCGTGTGCCCGGAACAATCAATTCATTCTTTCTATTTCCCCGCGTCTAGCAAATAAAACATATTACACGCTTAGCAATGAAGCTGAGTAAGCATATCTAATGCGTCGAACATCCATATAAACTGAATCTTAATTCATCATTAAATCATTTGATATCATGCACATAATATATAATTCAAGCTTTCATCTTTCATGATATTCACAATATTTTAATTCAAGACATTTCATGATATAAATAATATTCATTATTCAATATTTCAATAGTGCTCTTATATTATTCCTAATCTAAGACCAAGTCAAGCTCTTAAAATATTCATAGTCTAAGGCAATATTTCTAACCGGCCTCTTAAACTATAAATAGTTTAAGATAGAACACAAGAATCGATGATTCACCCTATGAGTCTTGTGGATCACGTACCAACCGAATAGTGAACGGTCAGGCCGGTGATATTCGGTTTGGATCCCGTGCGTACACTTTAACCCCAAATTTCTGAATAGGTCACATAGGTATATTTTAGAATTTTTCTAGATATCCTCAATAGTCATCATCAATTTCAATTTCAAATGAGTATATCTTAGAGTTCTTCAAGATACTCTTAACAATACGTATTATTTTCTTATTCATCGATGTATTCATTTTTACTCATAAATCAATCATTCACAATAATCATTTTAATTAGAATATTCATCAAGTTTTAAATCATTAATCATAACAATCAATAATAATTATCATAATATTCAATAACAGATAGCGGCCTAGCGTCGAGTGTTAACACCCTAGCTTACTGTCATGCATCAAACAAGATTTTATTTAAAAAAATTATTTTTATTTCAAGAAATAAAAATTGACAAATTGTATAGAGTTAGAAAATAAAAATTACATATTGAAATACTAGGTCAAAAGATCTATAAAACTAGTAGTGACAATAATATTTTATTTTACCAAATTGCTAACGAAAATAGAAAAAGAAAGTGAATGAAGTTTGACTCTATAAATAGTAAATTAAACATGCACTATAAATTGGGACGAAGGAAGTATCATTTTAAAAATTATTTTATTTATAAATTGCTATAAAAATAAAAAGTACAAATTATATGGTTCAAAAGTACATCAAAAGTTCACAAATAAGACATGATAAAGATATTTGATATTATCAAATAGTTAATAAAAACATGCAAACAAACTAAAGTTGAACCCGGTTCCATGGCCACTGGATTCCAGTGGCCATGGAACCGGGCTCACTAAAGTTATCAAAAACCCAAATTAATAACTAGGACAAGGAAGAAAGACCAAAGTAGGACTAAAACATTGAAAATATACCAAAATAGGGCTTCCATGTATTTTTTCTCGAAATAGGACTTACATTACCAAACATGGTCATATACATTACCAAAAAAGTATAATAATTTGCACATGTACACTGCCACATTACTACAATGCAAAGTCACATTACCACAGTGCAAAGTCCTATTCCGGGAAAAAACATGAAAGTCCTATATTGATACTTTTCTCTATGTTTTAGTCCTATTTAGGATGATTTCTACTACGACAAAGGGAATAAGCCAGAAAAACCTTTCCAAAAGTAGAAAGAGAACTATTTTATTTGGGATGCTCTAAAAAAATAAAGATTATGAATTAGAGACGGAAATAATATTACTTAGGGGCTATTTGTTTCAGCCTCTTAATGGTTCAGATGTTTGAATGGTTCAGCACTTAATGGTTCAGACTGTTTGTTTCAGCCTCTTAATGGTTCAAATGTCTGAATGGTTAAGAGATTTGTCTCTGAATGGTTAAGTATTATACAGAGTCTGAATGGTTAAGACCTCTTATTTGAATTGATCAGACATTTGCCTCTAAATAGTTAAGCAATATACTAGCTCTTAATGGTTCAGACCTCTTACTGGTTCAGCACTTAATGGTTCAGACCTCTTACTGGTTCAGCACTTACCTATTCAAAAATTGCCAAACAGTCCCTTAGTCATTTAAATTTCTCTTGTTTGACTTAAGTGGTTCATTTTTAAAATTTTTCTTGTCCGAGCTTGTACTTTATTTATGACTACTGTTTTAATACGGAGTATGCTTTTTAGAGGATGCTTCTTAAATTTTAGACTTTAAATTTTATTTTTAGTTTTAAATTTTAGATTTTAAAGTATAAATTTTAAGTTTACCAAAATGGAAGTGTTATGGAGAAACGAAAGAAGTGAAAGAAGAACTCTTTAAAAATAGAAATGATTTTTTTGAAAAAATATTTTTCTTTCTACTAAACAACGGAAAATATGATTGGAAAATATTTTTCCTTAGAATACATTTTCCTTTGTAAAATATTCTTCATTGAAAATATTTTACACTCAACTAAACAGAACCTTAGGGTACAATTTTTCGCTAAGTAAATAGGGTGGAGTTCTCATGACATTGGGACCCCATTAGACATGGCAATCGGGTCAATCGGTTCGGTTCCGGTTCGGGTCTCATTCGAATATATGTTATAATTGGTTCGGGTCGGTTTGGGTCAGTTCGGTTCCGGGTTAATTTTGGTTTGACTGGTTTTCGGTTTCAGTTCGAGTTTGTATCGGTTCAGGTTTGTATCGGATCGGGTTTGTATCGGTTCGAATTTGTATTGGTTCGAGTTTATATCGATCCAGGTTTGTATCGATTTAGGTTTATATTAGTTCAAATATATATCAAATACTACTAATAAATCAATAATATCACATAATAAATTTAATCAATTTGTGATATACTCATAATTATTTTATTATTTAACACGGACGTACATAAAATTTAATCAATTTCGGGTCTAATCGATTCTGGGTTTAATCGGGTTCGGGTTTTATCAGTTCAGATTTTATCGGTTCAGGTTTAATCATTTCGGGTTTAATCGGATTCGGATCTGAATACATTCGGTTGGGGTCATTTCAGGTGTTCGAGTCTATTTCGGTTCTTCAGTTTTCGGGTCAAATCAAGTTTGGTTCCGGGCTATTAGGTTCGGGTTATCGGGTTCGGGACAGTTTTGCCATGGGATCATCATGGGATGACCCGGGGGCGCTCCGGTGCCTCGTTCGTAAAATTGACGATTCCTACCCCCTAACCCCCGGTAAACCCTCCCACCCCACCCCGACCCGAACACACCCCCCCACTCCCTCAATTGCACCCTACAAGTTGATTTTGACTTTGGAGTCAAATTTTGACTCCAAAGTCAAAATCAAGTTGTGAGGTGCAATTGAAGGGGGTGGGGGGTGTGTTCGGATAGGGGCGGGGTGGGGGGTTTACCGGGGGGGGGGGGGGTTAGAGGGGTAGGAACCGTCAATTTTTGAATGGGGCACCGGAGCGCTCCCGGGTCATGGGGACCGTCCTCAAGTAAATAAGGTGTGTGAACATTTAATTGTGTACAGCCCAAGAAGAGAAATAAACAAACTAAATTCAAGATGGAGTAGTGCTTTACAAATCAACCATTATACTCGGTATGCCGCATTTTGTTGTTACTAGAGATGCAGACGAAACAAGAGAATGTCAAGAGGTTTTCAAAAGATAATACAAAAAGGGGGTAGTTTCCCATAAACGTAAATGCATTGGACCGAAAGGTAGTTGTACTTGTCCTCTTTCTTTCATCATCCGTAAAAGAGATCATGAGATCATGAGAACATGTTTTTGCAAAATCAACAATTACATTGGCCGACCACCACCCAGAAGTCCTCCTACCAGACTGTTCACCTGCATAAAAGCATTTAGGATTTAATAGGATAGCAGACAACGAAAAATATGTGACGTCATTGTCATTGGCAATGCAGTAAGAAAAACCATAGATTCTTTAAACAGCACAGTTATAATGACACCATTTTGGGTGTCATATTATGACACTCGCACGAGAAATGTTCAAGGGGAAGTTCGTTTGCCTATTGCATTGGGCCATAAGCAGGGGGCAAGAACTCTGATTATAACAACACTATCCTCATGTAATTTCATCTTATATTTGCTGGAAGTCTGTTGCTCTAAAGAAAATTTAGGATAAAAAGAACTTAACAATACGAATGCAAGTTTATTAAGGCAACAAAAAAATGTAATCACCAAAACAACCATCCATACAACAGTCTCCATCAGAAACAGCAACTATCGAAACACAAACCTCTGCAACAAGCTCCTCAACTAGTTTATACACTTAATTTTAAGGATGATAATATAACTTGTTTCATGCATTATATTTGTTGACAATTACTCTCACATGGCATTATTACATTTAATAGTCGCTCAAAATTGTTTGCTCCCATACATGTCTTTTGTGATGAGATTAAATATTGAATTCACGTTCACGTATGTATTTTACATTGTGATAATGCACATGAATGTCTCTCTTATCCATTCACATCTTATACGGGATACCATGGTATGTTTCGCCAAATATCATGTGCCAATACACAGATACTCCATAATAGAATAAAGTTGTTGAGCAACAAAATAAACAATAACTTATTTGCTTGAAACAGCAACCACAAATTCATTCCAAATGCATTGGTTACTGCTTCCTTTTTATTAATCAACTACACTCCTCAGTCCATAATGGTAAAACTACACATCAAACTAATAGAACTCAAGATAGACGGGGAGAATTAAGGAAGGAAAATCTTTATCAAATTATGAAACCAGAATTTAACTCCATAAAATAATCAAGATGAAGGAAAATCTTTATCACAAAATGAATACAACCCAGTAGAATCTCACCCACACAGGGTTTGGAGAGGTTATGTGTTCTCAGACCTCACCCCTACTTTGAAAAGTAAGAATCTTAAACTCATATACAATAAAGCCCAAAGAGAATCTCCAATGATAAATATTGAATTAAATTCTAAATGACTTCTACAAAATATGAGATTCAATATTTCTAGAAGCCAAATAACTACCAATCCCTAACTAGCCCACTAACACACTTAATAACAATTCCACAAATTTAGGCCCACTTACACATAGAGCTGGCAAAACAGAACCGGAACCGATTACCCGAACCAAAATATCCGAAACCGAAACCGAAATGACCCGAAAAATGAAGATCCGATCTATAACCGAAAACCCGAAATGATCCGAATCGAACCGAAACCGAACTAAATAATTCATATCCGATTTAAATCCGAAACCGATTAGATCCGAAACCGATAATATCCGAACCGATTAAACCCGAAACCGATTAGATCCGAAACCGAT